GGGGGGAGGGGGGCTGCCAAAGAGTCGCACCGTATAAATCTATCTCTATCTAACAATATATGTATACAGTGATCTATATACACATATACATATATATATATTTATATATATATATATAGATATATATATATATATAAAGAGAGAGAGAGATATCGCGTAAACCCTTTTATGGAACGATCGGTCAATGCAGCATGTCACTCGGTACGGTTTGGTTTCTCCGTCTCGTTGTCTCTTTGTCTCTGGAAGATTGTTGGTGTCTTTGTGTGGGGGAGGGGGGGGGGGGCTGAAATTCTACTCCCTCCTCCTGAAGATATATCAATCGCGATATAGAGATGTATGTATAGTAACACAATTCTATGATAAGAGAAACCAATTAGAACGAATCCAACCTTGGTGTGTTTTATTACTAAAGGTTAAATGAGAGGGAAGGACGCAAAGATGGAAAAGTTACCCAGTTTAAAAGCCTTTGAACAACTAGATAAGAATACAGATCAAATTGAAAAGATGGTGGTGTTTAGTGTAAATTTACAATTGATCAGTGTATGTTTTTCCATTTGGGATCGGCGAAGAACACCGCGTACTCTTCCCCCCCCCCCCCCCCATCCTCCTTTGAGCTCTCCGACCGTTCTTTAAGCATCAAACTAAAAAGGTTTGAGAACCTGGAAAGAGCACAATAAACAATTTAGCATCATTTCCCTCACTTATATTTTTTTAGACATCACATAAGATCTCATTGTTTTCAATAGCAACTTATTATTTCATTTTCAACTCATTTTTTCCACCCTTCAGGTGGTACTATGCGATCTCGCTTCCGATGATCCTCACGCCGCACGTTAGACGCCACCGTTCAGCAGTTACCAGTCCAGGCCGTGAATCGGACGCCTTGGCAAGGATTTGCTCGCTCAGTTTAATTCGTCCTCTAGAAACCTGTACTCAAAGACAAAGTCATCGACGGTTTGCTTTTGCCAGGTATCCTCGTAGTCAAAGTAGGTGTAGGACCCTCGTTCGCTCTTCGCGGTGGTCTCCTTTGGCTTCTCGCGGCGCTGGTACCACCGCTTGAGCTCCGTGTGAAAGCGAAAGGAGTGCGCCTTGAGCTCCTTCGACGCGAAGTACTGCTGGTAGGACTTTTGGTGGTAATAAAAGATAAAAAAGAGCGTCTCGAGGTCGAAATGGTGGTAGATCTCGCGGCTCGAGAGGACGGGGTGGACGTCCTGCGGGAAGTAGGGGATCGGGTCGATCGCGTTCGGCGGCTCGTAGGGCCGCTGCCGCTCCACGTCAAGAGTGTGCGGGAGGTTCGCAAGCGACATATCCAGCAGCGCGAGGGTCGCGGCGTGGTTATAATTCGCCTTCCCAACCCGCGAGGGGGGCGAAGGGGAGGCGCTTTGGGGGGTCCGAGGGGAGGGCTCGGGCGGCGGGAGGGCCGGGGCCACAACGGCAGGCGCCGTGGGGG